AGATAGATAGACAGATAGATAGATAGATAGATAGATAGATAGATAGATAGATAGAGAGATAATAGATAGAGAGATAATAGATAGATAGATAGATGGTAAGATAGTAAGATAGTAGGATAGTAAGATAGTAAGATAGTAAGATAGTAAGATAGTAAGATAGTAAGATAGTAAGATTGTAAGATAGTAAGATAGTAAGATAGTAAGATAGTAAGATAGTACAATAGTAAGATAGTAAGATAATGAGATAGATACGGATAAGGCCCAAAGAACAACAAAAGATCGCAATAGCCGTACACAGATCAAATTGATCGAATTTATAGCGTAACAGGGAAATGGATATCCTTAGCTCTTTACCAATCGACTTAGCTCTAGGAAATTACAAGCCATACAAATCTATAGCCATATGAATTCATATTTAGTAAGTGAATGCTCTCAGTGTGCTATGATAAAAGTGCTTCAGTCAACGTGAGCCTATTACAAACAAAAAATACGAAATACTTTCATTCTACATATAGATGCTTTCGAGTCGAGATCAATTCCAAGATTTTTAAAAATTATTCGGCTAGTTTTTCTGCACATTGTACTTGGAGAGTCGCAAAATTGTTTTCAATGTCTAGATACCACTCAGACTCCTACACACCTTCCACCTCAGTGGTGGGGTTGGAATTCGATGATGGCGTTATGCTGGCGGCCGATACGCTCGTCGTCTATTGCAATACGTGCCGTTATCCGGAAGTTGATCGCCTGATCAGGATCAACAGGAATACTATACTCGGCGGTGGCAGGGACTTTCCTGATGTACAGTCGCTGCTGCGTCAGATCAATGATAAGGTCATCGAGGATTTCTGCTATCAGGATGGGCACATTTTGTCCCCTAAATCATTGCACACCTGGCTGACGCGCACTCTCTACAGCCGTCGCACCAGGAAGAAGAGACTGGACGTTGATCTGGTCATTGGCGGAATCGAGAACGATCAACCATATCTCGGCTATGTTGACTCATGGGGCACGGCCGTAACCTGTGACGTTATTACCACCGGATTTTCTCGCAAGTTGGTCGAGCCGCTAATACGTGACCGCCAGCCGCTACACCGCCCGTTCAATTATGAGGAAGCATTCAATACTCTGGCCGAATGCATGAAGGTTCTGTTCTATCGCGATTGCCAGAGCATTGAATTTTACACGATTGGCGTTTGCTCGCGGGAAGAGTGCAGCATCAAAGGTCCATTCGAGGCCAAGACGTGCTGGAAAATTGCCGAGCACAACAAGGGCTTTTAAGGGGGTCTACGGCTATCGTTGTCAATGGCGTTCTTTGTAAATGAATATGTTTTCAATTTTTTACTATTATAAAAAAAAAAAAGTTTTCGGGCAGACAACAAAACACTGGATATATTATTTACTTATCCATACCAGACTAGCTCATAGCTCATAGTTCTCGAGTTGTGTTGGAAAAGTTTATAGAATTAATGTTAAAATAGATGATAAGCTGATAGATGATAAGATGTATGGTATTCAACCATTGGTATTCATTGATACTCATTAGTTTTTCATACGGCATAAGAACTTATAAAGTTTTGCGTAGTTTAGTTACAAGTCTCTAAGGCTTGAGAGATCCTTTTGCTTAAATTTTGAAGTTGATCTAATAGACTTTTATAAGGCATTGAAAAAGTGATTTATATTTCCACTGTTTATACCTAATGAGAGCTATAACGTCTAGCTTTACTCTTCTAACTCTTTTAGGTCTCGAGTTTTGCTTGAAAAAATTTTTAAAATTTATACTGAAGCTAGGATAGCTTGATAAAGATCCTCTAGAGATGCCTCCAGACTTCAGCCTGCACTCGTAATTAACTCCTATTATAGCAATTACAAGGTCTTCTATATTTTTTGCAGAAATTCGTATGAATATTAGGATTATCGAATAAGCTAAGGCTATATTTTCCCTTATAGATAGTTGAATTAAATATTATAGATCGAGCACCTATATATGTGACCTTAAAGCTTCTCTGACGCCTTTGGCTCAATCACGACCTGTTCCACGCACGTTAGCCAAACAAACATACCCCAAATATCCACTTTAAATGGGTTCAGGGTATATAACAACGAAAATAAAAAAATAAAAATAGAAAGGGAAGGGAAACAAAACATCACAAAGTCCTCTGCTAATTGCGAGTGTGTATGAATTTATAAACAACTACTAAAAGCCACAAACTAACAACACAAACATACAGAAAAAAATGAAAACTAAAATAAAATGAAATACGCCCCCCTTTACACACACACACGCACATAAACACCCCCGCACGCAAATGTGTTGACCCACTTTGCAGGCAGCCAAAAATAAATGCCAAGGAATTGATGCAAAATTCAAATAATAATTTTATGGCACATTTCAGTGTTTGCATAAATTGCTCATATATGTATATATGTACATATATTTTTTTTACTTTTATTTTAATTGTTTTTTATTTGTTTTTAGTTACATTTGTATTTTAGTGATGAGAACGTGAGAAATACGTATCGATATTTATGGGACAGGAGCGTAATTTAGTGTAGAAAGAGAATTTCTATTTGATTTCTATTTGTCAACTGCTCGATACATATATCGATATATATCGGTAGAAGGTCAGCATTACAATATTCAGACAATTAATTTGCAGCAATGTAACAGGCAACGCCTGCTAAAAAAAAACAGTTAAAACTGCAAATTAATATATATCGATATATATCGATCAATCTATAAAATATCAAAACTCTCCGTGCTCCAAATTCTATATCTCTTTAACAGCTCGCTTGTTGATTTGTACTTGAGTTAACAGATTTTTGATACAATTAAACTTATACCAAAATAAAAATCGATAAGTCGATAAAACAAAATATATTAGCCAGTATTAAAGTTTTGGCATATTTAGCTATAACGATATTATGAGTCATAGTTTTAGACACAATTAGCTCAATTTTTAAGCTAAATTTGGCAATTCTAGTAAAAAATCGATAATTATCGATTACTAGTTTTATAGTATTTAAGCAAAATTAAGCACATCTGCGGTTTATGTGGCAGCAAAATAGAAAATTTTATATATTTTAGCAGTTTTTACGACAGCAAAAACTAAACGAGCGCACATGCTGCGGGTGTGTGTGCGTGTGTGTGCGTGTGCGTGTGTATTGGTGTGTATTTGATAATGTTGGGGACAAAAGGTTCAACTGTCTGTAAACGCTTAAATTGATTTAAAATCAAGCTTAGCCCGCACCGCAAGCGCTCGACAAAGAGTGAAGGTATAAATAAGAGAAGTGTAAAAGAATGAATGAATGAATGAGTGAGTGAGTGAGTGAATGAATGAATGAATGAGCGATTACATGTGTGCATGGCTGACATAGTGGGACGCTGGGCTCAGTTAGCGTCTGTCTGACAACTGACAAATTTTACGTATTTCAATGCCAAAAGACTTGGCCAACTAATTTGCCAGCAGACAAGGCAAGCAAAGAGCGAGAGAGAGGGGGGGGAGAGTGAGAGTGAGACAGCTATAGTGGGAGATATTTAGCTAGAGCGAAGTGTTTTAAGTTCCTTGGCTGCTTGTTATAATTTTAATCAAACTTAAAACAAATTTCCCAAATAGTTTGGCGCTAGCTGCCTGTCAGACACTCTCATCAGCTCTCTCTCTCTCTCTCTCGCTCTCTCTCTCTCGCTCTATCTAGCTCGCTCGCTTAGTTGCTTTAGCTGTGTGTGTGTTAAAAGTTTTTAAGCTGTGGCCTCGCCAAACTTTTTTGACTCAATGAGCTCAAAAATCTCTTTTTAATACTTAAGCATAACTAAATTAACATGCCCAAGTGTGTGTGCGTGTGTGTGTGTGTGTGTTTGCGCATGTGCTTGTATGTGGTTCTGTCAGTGTGTGTGTGTGTGTGTGCAGCATTTAACAATTTTTGGCCAACGAAAAAAAAATTTAATTTGCTTTACGTTGTAAAACCAAATTTCCCGCTTTTTTGATGGCTTAGGCGCGGCGACTCTGCTGTTGGCCGGGTGGGCGTGGCTGGTTGCGGCTTAGTTAAGCTGTGTGCACATGCAATTTGATTTGCGGCTCACACACACACACACTCGCACACCAACTTACGCTCGTCAAACTGTGGGCGCCAGAAAGTATGCAACACTTTTTGATAAGCCAATTAGAGGACTGCACGCGCCCGGGCGGGCGGTTCGCTGCCTTTGCCAGTGACTAATTACAGCAGCAGCAGCAGGAGCAGCAGGAGCAGCAGCAGGAGCAGCAGCAGCAGGAGCAGCTGCAGTGACAGAGTCTGGCATTCATTAAGATAAAATAATAAGAAAATATCAAAGCTTTGGCATTGATAACTATTTGCTTGGGCAATGTGTTTGAAGGGCTTGAAGAATGCGACGAGATGAAGTGGACAAACAAAAAATTGTGATGGATTGACACAGAGCAGACAGAAATGGCTTTTGTCTTGCTCTGTTGCGTTAGTGAGTAATGCCTTTCGATGCGATTCTCTTTAAATTGTATTAAGCGGTTGTTGCTGATTGAGAAAAGCAAGAGCAAAGAGAGCAAGGGCAAAATAAAGTAGGACAAGAGTGGAGAGAAAGAAATGTAAGAGAAATAGAGAGAGAGATACTGACAGAGAGAGATAGAGATACTGAATAAGAGAGATGTACTGAAAGGGAGAGAGAGATACTGATAGAGAGAGAGAGAGAGAGAGAGATATGTAGGGACTGAGTGAGTGAGTAATAAAGTGGTAGACAGAGACAGATAGTGAGATATAGCGGAAGAAAGAGACAGATAAAGACAACAAGAAAGAGAAAAAAAATTAACTGAAGGAGATTGAGAGAGAGGAATAGAAAGTGTGAGATACAGAGAGAGAGAGAGAAAGTGAGAGAGGGTAAGAAATAAAGAAGCTCTATAAATATAATACGAGAGAAAGAAAGAGTTGGAATGCGAGAGCGAGGGCTAGAATGAGAAAGATGTAGCGAAAGACATTGAGAATGCAAATGAGAGTAAAATAAAAGATTTAGAGAAACTTAGTTCCTCTGAGGGAGAGAGAGAGATAAAGATGTAAAAAGTGTAAGAGAGAGAGAGAGTGAGATACAGGGAGTGAGAGAGAGTGAGATATATATAGAGAGAGAGAGAGAGTGAGAAACAAAGAAGCTCTATTTGTAATGAGAGAAAGAGAGATAGCTAGAATGAGAAAGTTTTATCCAAATATATTGAGAATGAAAACGAAAGTAAACTAAACAATTTAGAGAGACTTGGAATACAAGTTAAACAGAGACAGAGAGAGATAAATATGTAAAGAGAGAGAGAAAGAGAGAGAGCGTTAAATACAGAGAGAGAGACGTGGAGAGTAAGTAAGTAAGCATCGAGCTAGAGCCAGAGAAGTGCGATGTGAGCGAGAGAGCATGAGTAATTCCTAGCCTACATATATCTCTATGATTTCCCGTTAGATCTGCTCCTATCCTCCTATCCCATTGCATTGCGTCCATTCCTCAATCCACATTCGTCTCGATACAAATGATCTCATAGTTCGGATCTGTTTGCCGACCGACATTAACGATTTTATTTGTTTGTGTTGATTTTGTTGCACATGTGTCTGTGTGTGTGTGAGTGACTGTATGTGTGTGTGCCTTCTCTCTCTCTCTCTTTTTTGTGAGTTTTTTGTTTAGTTTCGTGCTGTTCACATCAAATGAAATGATTTGCCATAATGTGCGCAAAATAAAACATGAGCCGGGCCAACAGGAAAAAAAAACAACAACAAAAACAACAAAATGGAGTCGCAGGCCCGCATCAAACGTGGCCCAAACTACGCTCCATCTATGACTATCTAGTGTGTAAGTGTTAAGTGTGTGTGTGTGTGTGTGTGTGTAAGTGTGTGTGTGTGTGCCACGTTTATTTGTATTAGACATGACCGCAAAATGAATGTGGCAAGTCCGAGTCGAGTGGTGCGAGTGGTGCGGGTGGTGCCAGTGGTGCGGCAGTTGGGGCCGCTTGTTGAGGACGCTCGCTGATAGCGGCTGCAGCTCGTCTGTTGGCCAAAGCCAAAGCAAATAAACGCTTTCGGGCGCAACATAAAAATTTTATATGCAAATGAAGGCAAACAGCAGAAATAAAAATACAAAAAATAAAAAGAAAAATAAAAAGAAAAAGAAATGAAAATAAAAAAATAAAAGTAAAAGCGAAAAACCAAAAATAAAAAAAAACAACATAAAAGTCAACAAATATTTTGCTCAATTCTTGTAGTGGATTTCTCTGCTTCTGCTTCTGCTTCTGCCTCTGCTTCTG